CAGGGATTCCAGAGACAGAGCAAAGTACAAGGGCCTGGATGATGTGCTCACATCTGCAACGTTTGTCAGCAATCTGGGACTGATGTACGATGCGCTCACAGAGCTCAGCGACCTCTCTCGGCAACTCCAAAAAAGAGAGATGACACTGCCTACAGCAGATAGGCTCTTAACTCGAGAAATACGAGTTTTTGAATCCATGGTCACCATGCCTGGCCCACACATGACTACAGTTCATACAGCTCTAGCTGAGAAGTCCTTCAAGGGTGTTGCCCTGCATGAGAATGGCAGGCTTGTACAGATTCATGCAGGTGAGTTTTTTCCGCAGTATGGTAGAGAATCTGAGACACAGAATGACTTCCACAACCTCCTCTCATGTCAGCACAAGAGAAATCCCATTACATGGCCGGGAGGCCCGGGACAATCAGCTAATCCAGGACATGAAAGTTATCCATCCTGGAAGTTGGCCTGAAGAGGAGTTAGACGTACAGTATGGGGACGTAGAGGTGCTACGTTTGTGCGAAGTGCTGAAAGTGGACAGAAGAGAGACTGTTCAGGGCTTTCGCGAATACAAGGAAACCAGGGCATCCCGTACACCTGCTGCCAAGGAGCCTCTACTGAAAGCAGTCCGAACCATCGCTGTCTCCACTAGTGAGTGTGAGCGGGCATTCATCTGCATGAACGATATCCTTACTGCAAAAAGGAATGCTCTCTCTGTCAGGCCTGGTTTTCATTAAATGTAATGGACCATCACTAGGACAGTTCAATCCGGAACAGTATGTGAGGTCCTGGCTGGCAAAGGGAAGGAGAAGTGCTGATGAAAGAGCCTGTCCAGCTCCAGCCCCTGATACTGATGTCCCCAAGGCCTTCTGGAGCCTTTTCTAACAATGTGAAGTATATTGCAAAGCAGCTCACCCAGTGAGAAGACTTTTGGCATAATGTGCCGATTTGTACAGATCCTGGAGATAGAAGGACTTCAGACCAACCAGGGAGTTATCTGATCAGCTTGGTGTTCAATGTAACTCTTTACCATGGCTCAGACTTTGTTACTTGCAGTTACAGTTTCTCATTTTAGATTGTGCAAATTTTGCATTTGTTTTTACATGTTCTTTGTTCATGCTCTTTATCATTTTTCTGAGTTGGAAAGTTAGATTGCATCATAGTTTACTTTATACATATTTGTATTCTTCAGTGGTGAAGTATATTGCAAAGCAGCTCAGCCATGTGAGAAGACTTTTGGCACTTTTTCGTTTTTCGTTTTCTGAGTTGGAAAGTTAGATTGCATTCAAAATGTACAGAAATACTTAATTTTGTTAAAGCTTTTTATAAAAAATGCTTCTGACCAGAGCTTTGTTTCCTTGTCATTAATGTTGAACACCACCAGAGGGGCTCTCACCTGAAAGGTCTCTGCTTCATGTGTCTTCAGCAGAAGATCTAGACTTTGATTGCTATATTTTCAGTTAATATTGACCTTACTGAGCTTTAGCCATATCCGCTGCCTATCATAAAAAATGTTAAGTACAGTGAACCTTTCTAAAATATACAGTAGTAAAGAGACAAACCCACCAGCATTATAGTAGCCAAATTCTTGTTTGTGGGCTGTATATATAAAATTGACTTGAAAAAGTTGCTGATTTTAGAGTACTGGCACCTTTTTCATTCCAATTCAAGCACTGAACAGCACAGACATAGGCCTATTATAAAGAGAAAATCTGTTGCACACGGGGTGGTGCCACAGGGCTACATTTACATGAAATGTCCCGATGGATCATGTTCATGTCAACAGATTTCCCGAGCATGTATGTACGGTGGCCGGCAGGTGCAAACGCTAAACAACGGCCAAAAATAAGCAGGAAACACCTGCAAATAATGAAATGAAAAACAAACAAACCCCGAAAACAAACGCAACAAAAAAACGCTGCAAATACCAAAACGATATGCAAAGTCCAAAGCAGGTACAAATCCCAAAACACATACAAAAAACAACATTCCGGAAGTGCTCCAGGCCTCTAGGGGGAGTCTACGTGGAACAGATTGATGTCTGACCAGACATAGAGAGAACGAACAAGAGTGATGGAAATCGGGAGGAAAGAAAGTTAATTTAAGTGAAGAAAGATATAAGAAGGTCAGTTTTGTTTTGTTTTTATACATAGAGCGTCATATTTATATAGCTAGCGTTAACGTGCCTGACTACTACACCAGCTGAGGAGAGGAGAGCTTCACGTGAAGAGAAGATAAAGTGAGGGAAGAACATTGTTAAAAGAGATGACAAATCAAGTGCAGGTGTTACCGTTTAACTGGTTACACCGGGGAACTCGTTACGTTAACGGTAGGAATGGGGCGTGTACTTTGAGGAGCCAGTGTCGAATAACCAGGAAATACACATTTCGATCGCTTCTTTTGTTGTTTACCTTTATCTTTTGGTATATTTGGCTCCATAGGAACACTTTGATGCACATTCACTACCAGTGTGTGAGGTTGTGGTTGCGATGCCGATATCCGGACACGTAGGCTACAGCGAGGACTACAAAATGACAATGAGGTGACTGGGGATGTCTGTTCAAAACATTGCAAACGTGAATAAATCATTTCAAATATGTATTTGTCTCCGAGAAATAACAACATAAATGAAAATAACCTTGCTGGATAGCTTAGAATGAAACAAACAAACTATCTTCCATGGCTGATACTGATGTCACAGTAACGGCTAAACCACAGACAGGATCAGTTTGGATCAGGGACACTTCACCCCAAATTGCTCCTGTGGGGATTGTCCACAGTATTGAGTATGTAAGTCGCTTTGGATAAAAGTGTCTAACAAGTAACATGTCATGTAATGTAAAACAGTCCTGATGCTCTTCTATTTATTTAATGGTTTATTTAGCAGGGGCAATGCACAGTAATCTATCTGTCTTGCTATCTATCTCTGTCACTATCTATCTCTACAGTATCTCTATCTGTCTCGCTATCTATCTCTCTGTCGCTATCTATCTCTCTCTATAATCACAAACCAAGAAAGTTGTGACACTTCCGCCGGTTTATATAGCCTAGACCAGTGGTTCCCAAACGGTGTGCCGCGGCACACTGGTGTGCCGTGAGGCAAGTCCGGGTGTGCCGTGGGATTTTGTGACAACCATACGTTATTATTGCAATATACAACTACACAACAAATAATTATTTTTTAATGTACTATATCAGTACTTTGTAGGTTTATATGTACGTAATCTGCGCGACTTGCACGTCCACATCTCCACATCTCCACGTGCAGTGCTGCATAAACATGGCTGAGTCAGCGATAACTCTCGAGGGGTGGAGGTCTGCCCATTATTTTGAGTTCGTCCGAAGAATAGACAGGAATGTGACGGTGAGGTGTAAACTGTGTCCAGGAAATGTTACATTTATAATTTGTAGTTCAGGACCATGGACAATGCAGCTTCCTTGCATTGACAGTTCTCTGTGCTGAATTTCTGCTGAGTTTCCTTTGCCTCATTTTTAATTGTGTGACCTGTCTGGTTTAAATGTGTGTTGCTGCTTTGATGAAGCCTAATTTGATAACGTTTCAAATTAATTTCTGAAATACTTCGTTAATAAATATTTCACGAGTAATATAGTTGTCTTTGTCACATTTTATTTGGCATTAGTAAATAATTATGCACATTTACAGATATTTTACATGATATGAGTGATAACACGTGTTATAAGGGCTATTTTGCACAATAGGTGTGCCTTGAGATTTTTACTTGTCCTTTGGTGTGCCTTGGGCACAAAAAGTTTGGGAACCACTGGCCTAGACAATGTAGGATAGAAATAAATATAAATATATATAGCATGTATATATATATATATAAATAACAATTTCATTATATGGATTCAACTTGTGCCCCCCCGCTGGACTTGTCTGTGGTTTAGCCGTTACTGTGACATATCAGCCATGGAAGATAGTTTGTTTGTTTCATTCTAAGCTATCCAGCAAGGTTATTTTCATGTATGTTGTTTTTTTTCTGCACAGTGTAGAGTCTTGTTGTGATGAGAGGGATGGAGGTATTTAATAAAAACCTTGCTCGCTGGAGAATAGCTAAAGAAGTCCTGTCACAAGTTCATCGGAGAGGATCACAGCTGGCCACGGATCTCGATGCTGCATTCGGGCTGTGAGTAAACAACTTGTGTCTTACTTTTAGGCTGTCTGGAGGTATGGACAGCTATCAAAGCTACTAAACATCACATTAACAACGATGTACAAATGAAAGTCGGAGACAAATACATATTTCAAATGATTTATTCACGTTTGCAATGTTTTGAACAGACATCCCCAGTCACCTCATTGTCATTTTGTAGTCCTCGCTGTAGCCTACGCGTCCGGATATCGGCATCGCAACCACAACCTCACACACTGGTACTGAATGTGCATCAAAGTGTTCCTATGGAGCCAAATATACCAAAAGATAAATGTAAACAACAAAAGAAGCGATCGAAATGTGTATTTCCTGGTTATTCGACAATGGCTCCTCAAAGTACACGCCCCATTCCTACCGTTAACGTAACGAGTTCCCCGGTGTAACCAGTTAAACGGTAACACAGGCAAATAACACGGGCCATAGTGAGTACCGCGGAAAAAGGACATTTGAATTGTTAGCGGTTTGTTTATATGTATGTATTTGTGTATAGATGTTGCAACTATAGCCTACAGAGCTTTAGCAATTGCCTGTAACTATGGTCATGCTAATAAAGCTATTGAATTGAATTGAGAGAGAGAGAGAAGTGACAACATGTGAAGAGGGACAAATTAATGACAGGATAGTAGTGTGCATTATAACAAATATAGAGAAGACATTCAAGGAGAGAGAGAGAGAGAGAGACAAAACACAGATTCAATGGTAAACATGATGTATCTTTCTATTTATTTAGCTAACCACTATTTAGACTATGTGTTTTTGATTGACTTGATTAAATGGATTTACTACATCAGTGTATGTCTTTTCAGGCTGCCATGTTTTGTCCTTTCTGTGGCCAACATCTGGGGAAAGTTCAAGTGTTCTGTGGCTCCTGTGGCAAACATGTACAGTTTTTGGCAGAAGTTGAACACAACAGTAAGTTCACTTTTTTTAATGTATCTGTTTCAAATGCAAGAAATAAGGATTCAACACACTACTCTGTTTAGAATACTAATTGGCAGATGCATAGTTATCAGCATGAAGGACACATTTTTTCATTGTCTGTTTATGTGAAATATGTAGAAGCTATCATTAAATTGTAGACCAATGCATTAATACACAAAACAGCTTATATTATACATTCATAATTGTGTATTAGTTATATCTTTATAGAGAACATTATACATTTAGAATCAGATTTTGAGACAGTGAGCCATGACATGATGTTTTCTTCTTTTTCTCCTTGTGTTTTTTTTTTTTACAATCAGCATCTGACAGCCCCACAGAAGAGGACCTCATTCGGAAATACTTTAATGATAGCTTCAGCTACGATGAAATTTGGGATTTTCTGGAAACTACCCACAATGTAAAAATGAGTCTGCGTACTTTAAAGAGTAAATTAAAAAGTCTTTCATTATCAAGGAAAAAAAAACGACTCCCCTCTGGCTAATGTTCGTGCTGCCATTCAAGAGGAGCTAAATGGACCTGGCCAGCATTACGGTTACCGCTCGATGTGTCAGACATTGCGGCAAAAGCACTCCCTTACTGTAAAAAGGGATGAGGTCATGAACTTGATGAGAGAGCTTGATCCCTCTGGAGTTCAACTTCGCAGTAATAGAAGATTTGTACGAAGAACATACAGCTCTGAAGGACCCAACCACGTCTGGCATGTTGATGGCTATGATAAGCTAAAGCCCTATGGTTTGGCCATCAGCGGATGTATTGATGGCTACTCCAGAAAAGTATTGTGGTTGAAGTGTGGAGCATCAAACAATGACCCTGGGGTCATTGCTCAAAATTACATACGTTGTGTCACAGAGCATGGAGTCATACCTATGAGGCTGCGGCACTGAAAACGGCACAATGGCAGCCATCCAGTGTGCTTTAAGATCAAGACACACTGACCATTTTGCTGGGGCTGCCGGTCACATGTATGACTCTTCAACAGCAAATCAAAGAATTGAAAGCTGGTGGTCGTACTTCAGAAAACAGAGGTGTGGTGCTTCTTTCTTTTTTTTTTACATCCTTGACAATGAACATAGTATATCTATAAAAAGTAATGTAATTATATTTTCAGTGTATTAGTTCCGATCTCCTACAATAATTGTTTTACAACTAAACTCTGCACCACAGGCACAGCCAAAATATGGTATGCCTAGTGTGGTTGCTGATTTCCTTTTAATTTAATTGATCGGAATCATCAGTTAAAACAGATTATCCCTTTATCTCTGTTCCTTAATACAGTTCTTATAAATATGACTATTTGATACCACAGGTTTACTGTTATTTGTTATATTTATTTTTAATCCCTTTACATGGAAATCATCAATGTATAAAAAAAAGCTCTCATTTGAATCTGTTTCTTCAGGTCTCAATTTTGGATGGATCTCATGAATGACCTGAGAGAAAAACATCACTTCAGTGGCAGTCATGCGCACACATGCCTAGTGCGGTTTGTCTTCATGGGTGTGCTACAGAGGGACCTTGACGAATGCAGGGAAAAGTGGAACACGCATATTATCAGACATGTAAACCAGTCTCGTTGTCCATCCAGGAAACCAGATGTCATGTACAACCTGCCACACAGGTTTGTTTCTATCAATTAAACATATTTCTCAATTTTGTTCAGATTTATTTTTAGTAACTGCCTAAAATTCTAAGAAAAAATCAGTTGCCCCAAAGTACATTTTTCACTATAAATTAAGATTGTGTCATCTGTTCACCTCAGTCAGTCAGTTATTACTCAAATAATGTATACTATTAAGTGACAGTAACTTTTTTAATTTTCAAAGAAGTTCAACAAAACAACATTTCAAGAACAATTTTGTACACGTGAATAATAAACTGTTGAACATATTGCACATCCAGGTACGGTGGAACTGACTGTGGGTTCCCAGTCCCACAAGACGACTTGGGCCAGTTTGTTCTGGACTCGACCAACAGTCTATGTGGAGACGACCACTTCCAGGAACACTTTGAGAACCTTCAAAGAACGAGTGGTCTAATGCAACCCTTGACCTGGGAGTCTTGTGTTACGAACTATATAAATATGAAGAACATGGCTAATTTGTAAATTGTAAGCCCAGCTTTCAATAAAGTCCAAAACCAGGCGAATTTTGGATTCCAAAGTCCATGTTGCTTTCAAACTGTTCGTAGGTGCTTGACATTGGTATTTCTATTGTGTTTGAGCAGGTTCTGCCGATTGGAAAGCGAGATGTCCGGTGAAAAACCAATTGGGATTTCGGCTGGATTCCAGACGGTGGCAGGGTGTTTAATCCTGTTGAGAACATCAGGATGTCACTGAGGAGGAGTCCTGTTCGTTTTTCTGAGAAGAAAAAGTAGTATTACGGTTTTTTGTTTTTTTTAAATATCAAGATTGATAGAACTGCCATTAATAGCTAATTATTTTAAGATGTGAACAATGTTGGAACTCAAATAAACCTTCTTTTTAAAGGAGATAGTCTCTCCAAAATCCCAGCACCCTGGTTTCCTCATGGCGTCTTGTGCTTCCTTTTTCGCTGCTGTTCTGAACCTCAAAGACTTCCTCCAATGTGGCAGAAGTCAGCTCTACCACACTTGAGCACATAAAAGCTCTGAAAACACTTCCGTGCTGCTCCAAAGCATGAATCACATCCAAGGCTTCAAGTCTGTCTTTGAATCTAGGAAACATTAGACACAAAGACCCATCAATCTACTATCACCTATCGCCAGGTTAGTAACAATATCTGAAAAAAGCATTAGAACCAATTTTAGAAATACTTCATTTCTTAATGACCTCTGGGTTTTACATGCAGTAAAGTAAATCAATCAATAATCTTTACATATTTCTGTTTCATATTTTACTTTTTGACCAAGACCAATAACATATATTAAATAAAGTCAGAATAACTTCTGTGAAAGTAACTAAACTGATAATAAAATTATCTCCAAATGCAGGATTGTCCAGTGAATCGATAGATACAACTCTACCCTTGTAAACCCTCAATCGCCTTGGTATCACAATTGGTCATAGAACGCTTGATTTAGGCTTTTCTTATCTTTAAATGTTTGTTCCGAGCTTCAATACACGTTAAACTGCTTTTAATAATTTTAATGATGTTTTAAAAATGCAATTTTTGTATTTTCTGAAAGTGTAAAGCACTTGGAATTGCTTTGTGTCTGAATGGTTCTAATATAAATTATAACCTTGCTTTAACATCTAAATGGTGATGTGTTTGACTCGATAACAATTAAAATATATTGAACTTAGGTTAAATAGTGCAGAAACATTACCTTTGTATGGCAAAATGGTTGCGGTAAATGATGTACCACTGCATGAAATCCTTTATGATTGCGTTTTTGCCATCCACACCATCAGGGTACTGCAAGCAACCTGCAGTCTGCAGACAAGCTGGAAATTGAATGCATGTAGTTCCTCCAATGTAGCTTGCGCTGGATATCTAGGGTAGAAAACAATCATAATCAATAAACATAAATCAATATGCTGTCAAACTCGCATATGAAGGAAGACAGGTAATTTATCAAATAAAAAATATATATTCTCAATAATTGTAACATCTTCTTTCCCTCCTATGGTGTTCGGTTTAAATCTGACTGATTTACTACTCTCATTAAATAGTATCATAAATGTAAGTGTCCTTTGGTTTCTTGAAAGGTAAATAAATCCAAGTTCTTCTTCTTCTTCTTCTTCTTCTTCTTCTTCTTATTAAACATTGTGTTTTACACTTAATTACCCCAATCATTTTTGACCAGCTGCAGAGGGGAGCAAGAATTATGAATGATACCTAATGTAAGGAGTTGCATTAATCAAAGTGGCAAGATATTAAAGCTTATATAACTATATCCATGTCATGAAAGGAGGAATACATTTTTAATATTGTTCTAAGATGACAAACTTGTTCTTACTAGTGTACATTTGTTTTCATTAATGATATTTGTAATGACAGTTAGGTATGATAAATAAATACTGCATCATTTCTAATGGTTTGCCATAACAGCTAGCTAAGGTTGTTCGTTATGGTTCCAAAAGAGGCTATAAAAGCCCAATAAGAAACTATCGAAGGCCGGACAATATAAAAACCAAATTCTTCACAGGTTATAAGGGAGACAACTTCATGTTGTATGTTGGGCTGTGATAGTAAAACAACAAATGTTTGCCCTAATATGCCAGCCTACCTCAAGCAGGGAAGCTCTCATAGTGTCATCAGTAATGTCTTCAATGATGGCTTCAATGTTGGTGTTTTTCATTCCAGTGAGGTGCTGGTAGAGCGTCTCTGACAGGAAGCGGGGGCCTGGACCACCATGAACTATAGAAGTTGCAATCATCCTCCCAGCATGAAAGTATTCGTCATCTTTTGCAGCTGTCGATATTTTTTGTCAAACGTTAACCAACAGTTGCCACGTTATTATAAAGATATACAGTATAAGATAATGTAATTGTCACATAAATCCAGCTGCAAAATCCATAAGCAGCTCCTATATTTACAGTACAGTATTGAACATAAGACAGATTTGCGAACATCATTACCTGCATTGTCGAACGTGAGGAATTTCCTGTCCTGTGGACCATCAAATATTCTTCTCATTCTCAGGCATTCCATAAGGAGGGTCAGGAACTCCCGCTTGGGACCACCAATGTCCACTCCATCCTCAGTTTGTCCCTCATCGTCAGTAAACTTAACCTGCATCTGATGAGAGGGGTCGAATGAGGGCCCGTTTGAAGCCGCGGATTGCTCCATCCCATACATTGGATCGGTTAATATTAAACCTGCTGCAAGAGGTATTTTTTATTTTTGCAGAGAGTTCTGCAACAACGTCTGGCGCAGTCAGGTATTCTCTGCTGGGAAAGACAAAGTGATGTATAGTAATATTAAATGATGAAGCTAGTAATAAGATTTACAGTATAGAATAATTCTTTTATTTAGGTTCTCCATCCTATTTTTACCCAGGAAATAATAATGATGCAGTTGATCTAATGACAGTGTCATTAGCACACAAAGGTATTTATTGATTTCATGTTCACAAATTCAAACCTACATGGTATAATTACATTTTTAATTAGTCTTACCCGATCAGACGCTGGTTGTGGGTGCCTGAGAGATCTGATAAAGGTAAACAAAAAATATATTCAAACTACTGTACTGTTAAAACATTCTGCTTCTTGTGGCACAAAATAACATGTTGACAATGTTTTATTTTACCCTGGCAAACTGTTGTCCATTCTGGGAGTGCTCTGTTCATTTGGAAAGTCCCACACCTGCATACAACACACAAATGACTGACTGAAATAAAATTAACTTAATTAAGAATAAATGCCACGATAGATCCAAACTGACCACGGTGTCAGCAAGACTGTCTCCAGATGGCAACAACCACACTGTCCTCGTCACTTGAAGAGGTTGTTCCAGTGTAACCTAAGAAAATAAAAGTGTCATGATTAATACTATAAAAATAATTGTTCCCCTACGTCTGTACCTATCATCAAATGTTGGTTTGAATCCTGAATTATTGGATTGACATCAATCAGAAAGGATTCAATCGAAACACAAAATGTTTGTGAAATGTACATTATATTGTTGACCGTCCTTTTCACTCTCACATTAGGATTTACATTGGGGCACAACAAACCAACATTGTTGTGAGAAGAAGGTTAATTTAGAATTACAATCCTTAAGAGGGGATTTATATTTAGTTTGAACCATAGGGTTTGAACAGAAGGAAAGTTTGGAAGCTTTTGTTGATACTTAAATTTCATTTCTTCTGCCACTATTCATAAAAGACCATTTGACCTCATAAGTTCAACCACGAAGAGAAAGGAATGATGGGTGGAATGAATTGTGTTAAGAAATATAGACAGAACAACTGTTATGTTTACATTTGAACTATTATACAGTTTAGTGCTTTAAACAAGGGGGAATATATGTCAGAAGCACTTACAACTGTTTCAAACGGCTTCAAGAGTACAGATGTACAACGTAATTCGTTGGTAGGGCTTTCCAATGGCCTCTTTGTACATCTGTACTGTGAAAGGGGTGTCCGTTCCGGGGATATTTGTTATCACCCTCGCATCAGGGTACAACAAGACATGGGCACCATCTTCCAAGTCCTGGTTAGAGGCTTTCTGCTTTTTTATGGCAGCAGCCAACAGTTCTTCACATGCCCATTGAGGTTCAACATGAAGGGGAAGTTGACCTCCCTCTCACAGGTTTAAGGCAGCCATCCATCCTCCTCATTACTCCAACAGAAATCTGCAAAAAGACAATAACATGCAAATGAATAAAACATTTTTTCGGACATTATATGAGAGTGTGGTGAGCAGATTTGAATTACAGATGTATTCATAATAGAAAACGTTGCATACCTTCACCAATTTCTGTTTCTTTTCATTTTTGGAGTTATGCCGTCCCTTTGTAAAAAAGGTCTTTCTCTCCCTCTTTTATTTCCCTATATTTTTTAAAGGACTCTACAGCTGAGCTTCCTGCTACAAAAAACACAGGAATAAACATTCATTACTCTTCATTATGTTCAATAGGAGTCTCATCCTCAATCCCTTCTGAGGAACATCTTATAACACATTCAACAGTAGGTAAGCCACATAGTGTAGAGATGTATTTGTATAATAACAGAATTCGAACTTTTAAACCAAGTTTTCTATAAATACTTATTGTTTGGTAATAAAACGAACAACCTATTTACCTGCACTGGTGCTAGACTGTGCACTTAGATGTGCACTAGTGGTGGGCATCTCCTCAGGGACTTTGTTAGCCACATCTTTTAGAAATGTGATGTCTCTGCCACAGACACCACAAAAGCCATGCGAAGATGTCACGCTGGACCCCACAGAATGGACAGTACATCTGTGGAGAAATAAAATGTAGGGACAGCTAGGTTAAGTCAAAAAGAGTGGATATTTTTCGGCTACCTAAATATTATAATAGTATTAAAGAAACGGTCTTTCAATTAACTCATCAGAAGCCACCTCCTGTCTATCCCCCCACAAACCAAGCACCGAACCTGGGGGGACAGAGCTTTCTCCATCGATGCCCCCTCCCTCTGGAACTCACTCCCATTAAACATCAGAGACTGCACCGACCCCCCCACCTTCAAAACACACCTCTTCAGACTGGCTTTTAATGTGGGAATAATGTTGTGTTGCTGTTTTAATATTTTAATTCAACTTTTTACATTTTATTTTATTTCCTTTTTATCACCGCATCGCATTTGCGGCTCAGTTGAGGCCCCCTCCACGAGGTGAGGGCGTGAGACCCCACCCAGTCTGTTTGATCTGCGTGTAGGGAGGGGCGTCCCGGTTCTATACTATACATCTATATGTCAAGAGTTACATTTAGGTGCACAATGGCTCTTGCAAGCTCTTTTATCAAACACGCTAACGCTAGCTACGTAAATATGACGCTCTATGTATAAAAACACTCTTTCTCCACTTAAATGAACTTTCTTTCCTCTTGTTCGTTCTCTCTATGTCTGGTCATACATCAATCTGTTCCACGTAGCAAGCCCCCTAGAGGCCTGGAGCACTTCCGGAATGTTTTTTTTTTGTAATGTGTTTTTCGGTTGTATGTGCTTTTGACTTTGCATATCGTTTTGGTATTCTTTCACACACACATACGGGTTTTGGGCCGAGGGCGACACCGTACTTCCGGTATCCACCATTTCACACGAGGTGCAAGCAGAATATCATAGTATATTGCCTTAATCAATATAGTCAACTCTAAAATACCACATATATGCAATGGCATGATAATATTATTGTGACAAGTGGGGTATTCACCTGGTGTTTCTAGAAGATAGACGTAGATGCTGCCAAAATCGACCGAAGGCCACTTTCGAGGGTCGTTTTTCCATACATCTGCAGGCAGTCTGTAAGGGCAATCGGACAACCCACACAGCTCTAGTTTACGCTGGTAACGACCTAGAGCACACCCCTCAAGTCCAGAGATGTAATCCGAAGACATGCAGCGATTTCTTCGGTCGTTAATTTAAAAAAAAAAAAAACTAGTGCGCTCTGCTGGGCTACATTACATAGCTGTTTATATTAGCACCTCCAGGATATTAGCACCTCCGGGAAAATGGCGTATTTCTATATAGATATATGGCGCGCGTTGCATTGTGGGTAGCTCGTGACGTCACTGTGTGAAATAATTTGCAGCGTATTTTTGTTGCGTTTGTTTTCGGGGTTTGTGTGTTGTATTTAGTTTGCATAATTTCTGTAAATGCAGCGTTTTTCTGTTGTATTTGTTTTCAGGGTTTGTTTGTTTTTCATTTCATTATTTGCAGGTGTTTCCTGCTTATGTGTGTGTTTTTGGCCGTTGTTTAGCGTATGCACCTGCCGGCCACCGTATGTATGGGCTACGCAAACTTCAATCAACAATAATAAATAATCCACGGACCACCAATGTAACGTTTGACTGTTTAATTAAATCAACTTAAAATGACTCAAAAACAGGCTACATTGTTTCACATGGGCTATTCTTTCACACACACATACGGGTTTTGGGCCGAGGGCGACACCGTACTTCCGGTATCAACCATTTCACACGAGGTGCATACAGAATATCATAGTCGATTGCCTTAATCAATATAGTCAACTCTAAAATACCACATATATGCATTGGCATGATAATATTATTGTGACAAGTGGGGTATTCACCTGGTGTTTCCAGAAGATAGACGTAGATGCAGCCAAAATCGACCGAAGGCCACTTTTGAGGGTCGTAATTCCATACGTTGTACATCCAACAACCCACACAGCTCTAGTTTACGCTGGTAACGACCTAGAGCACACCCCTCAAGTCCAGAGATGTAATCCGAAGACATGCAGCGATTTATTCGGCTCGTTAATTCAGAAAAAAAAACCTAGTGCGCTCTGCCTGGCGACATAAGCTAGCTGTTTATATTAGCATTGCCAGGATTTTTGCACCTCCAGAAAAATGGCGTCTTTATAAAAAAATATATGGCGCGCGTTGCATTGTGGGTAGCTGTGACGTCACTGTGTGTGAAAGAATAGCCTATTATGGCTGTGATCAAACACAGAGCCGAACACACGCGATTAGAGCAGCCAGCGGCACCAACCATGAACAATATTAATATTAATAATACAGCTATAGCACAACACAACCCTCTCACTGCCTGGTGAGACGCGACGCCACACACACTACACAACGGCTCGTCTTCTTGTGTCTCTTCAGCCCCCCAAGTTAACGTTAGCTGTCAAGTTAGCACTAGCACTGACGTTAGCTCCCTCCTCTCTCGGTTCTGTTGTAGCAGCAGTCACAACGTACGATGTGCTACCACCAGCTACATTCGGTTGGTCTTCTTGATCAGGTTGTTTGGGCCGTCTTTTTAAAGAAATTGCCCAAGGTAAGTTGTTTTTTTCTTTTCGACATGTCAGCAGCAGCAACAATGCCTGGTAAACATGCAGTGCTAACTAAACGAGCTTGTGAGTGAGTGGGTAGTGGGTGGAGCTGCGGGCAGCGTGCAAGCAGGCGACACTTTTTTCATGAATCATAAACTCTAAATATAATTTTATTTTACACCTTTGAAAAAAAAAAACATGCCCAAAATGGAATTTATTTGGTCATCAGATCAGTATTTTAGAGAACTCCCCCCAAATTTCACAAACCATGTTCCCAGGGGAGCTCAGGTCACCACTAGGGGAGCTATAGCTCCCCCTGCTCCCCTCCAGTTCGCACCCTGGCACTCTTCCTAACACAACACCTGGCATTTCTCCAACAACAAGGCTTGGCATTTAGTTCAAATCATGCTGTTTTGGCAGGATAAAACACAATTATACTGACAGACCACATACAGTGAATATGAACAGAAGAATAACCAGAAATGAATTAAAGCCAGTGCAGGCAACTGTTATGAGTTCACTACTAACTACACAACCCTGCTCTGGTATTTCATCATGGTAGTGTAGCAATACTGTTTGTTGTATTGGTCTGTTGTGTTTGGGAACTCTTGGGGAAGCCCTTGGATGCTTTGTTGCTTTTGCATAATTGAAGGTGGAATGAGGAAGGAGGAGACGGCTGGAGAGCAGGAACAAAGGATGGACACACACACAGCATGCAAAGTATAATTCACAATGTTGGTTTGTCGCTGTGTGGTTGGGTTCACTGTCCATTTAATGGCTGTTATTTCAAATGTTGTATACAGGGACTCCTTCCACCACACACCCACGCATGGAGAGCAGGCAAGAACACTTTATTACTGTGTGATCATTGAGTCATGGTGCGTTGACCTGAACTTCCACTAAAGGGTATCCCTCACAAAAATAAAACAATTTAAATGAAAAAGGTAAATATTCCCTCTCAACATTAGAGAAATGTGAAATAATTTGTTTTATTAAATGATTCATAGGGTTATCAATGGGCCATTAATGCAACAATAAAGCTGTTGAATTAATCCACTTATACATGTATTTGTTTTACTAAATTAATGATATATTTGTAGGGTTTTATGCCTTCATTTGATAGTCCACCCTAACAGCTTATATGATATGTTGAGATGCTTTAATGTTCAAAATAAATATTTGTCTCATGCTTGAGAAAGAGCTTCAGCACCGCTTTTCACCCCCTGTCTGAAACCAGAAAGAGGAGCGCTATTGCCCATTGTCCCCACTGCCTGGAGATGACCCTGTCACCTCTCCCACCTCTACTCAGCCCCCGGCCATCAGCTCACAGTCACCTCTCACATCAGCCCCTGTTTCTTCTGGACTGATAATTCTGCTGCTCTGTACAAGAAGGGACAGAGCAGACTCTTTCTGCTGAGGAGACTGAGGTCTTTCGGGGTGCAAGGGGCACTCCTTCAGACATGTTATGACTCTGTTGTGGCATCAGCCATGTTCTATGGTGTGGCCTTCTGGGGCAGCAGCATCTCGGCTGCTGAGAGGAAGAGACTAAACAGACTGGTAAGGAAGGCCAGCTCTGTCCTGGGGAGTCCTCTGGACACTGTGGAGGTGGTGGGAGACAGGAGAATGGCAGCCAAGCTGTCCTCGCTGCTGGACAATGTGTCTCAGCCCCTCCAGGACACCCTGTCCTCACTGTGCAGCTCCCGACAGGCTGCTGAACCGCAGGTCCTTCCTTCCTGCGGCGGTCAGACTATACAACCAGAGCAGCCCCTAGTAGACCCCCCCCCCCCCACACAGACTATAACACCCTTTGCTGCTGTTAAATACCAACCAACTATGTGCTATATATATATATATATATATATATATATATGCCGTTAATAAGTGTGTAATATATACCTGGCTGCTAAATCCTAAGGATGTGGACGTACCGTTACGTATCGTTCACACGGTTCAGTCGCGTTGAAGCTTGCCGGTGGGCGTGTCTGGCGCGCGACCAACAACCAATCACATTAATCTCCCGCCCCGGACACACAAGCACGCGGTTTGATTGGCAAGCGCTTATACTGGCATATAATTTGATTGGCTGGCGCTTCCGTCAATGCTTGAAAAGTTGAACTTTGCTCAACTTTCGAAGCGAGCAATGGAGGCAAAGTGACGGAACCACAATGCAGTTCGGCAAAGCTTGACGTCACACCATTCAAAGTGAATGGGAAGCGTCTCCGTTGAAGCACGCGACGGAACTGTGTGGACATACCGTTACAGGATGTGTATTTTGTAAATTGTGTAACTTTTTATTTTTAATATATTTTTTATTACATCATAACTTTTTTGTTTGTTTAATACTTTTTAATGCATGTAACATATGTAACATTAAGCTGTCTGTGGCTATTTTTCTGCTGTAACAACGTACATTTCTCCTCTGTGGGACTAATAAAGGTATTCTGATTCTGTTACATAGT